AGGGTGGTAAAATCTTATACACTTCTACATCTATCATTCTATTGTATGAATTTGGGCATCCGATATCACTCTGAGGATCGAACCTGGGGGAGATTGAGAGACTTATCGTCCCTCCACTCTATGCTCCACATCACTCTGATTCATTGATGTGGTAGTGTTTCAACTTTCAATTGTAAAGATAAAAATGGAAGACCTAACAACTTTATTTGTTAAGATTCTTATAATTAAGGTCTTATATTATAAATTCCTTAGTTGGTTCCTATCCTCAAGGTCCATGATATTCATTAGTTTATTAACTGATTGCTTATGCTTTTATTTTGACATAATTTGTTGATATGTCCTAATATTACTCCATATGATCGATTGTAATTTATTGTAGCTATGTACTTAGATTATTTGTGTTTGGAGGATTTCTAATAGTATTAATGATGGATATGAATGATGTCGATGGACATGGGACAAGTAAACTTTCAAAGCTGCCACCTTTTCAATTACTTACAACAGGCGTGATATATATATAATACCTCTAAACAGTACAATACCACTATTTATCAAAGACATACTCATACGCTAAAACCACGTATCCTCAGCTCCTAACTAGCTTAGGACTGATGCGCGTGTAACTGTGTAAGCCTAAGACTAAACAAAAAAAATCTCAATAGGTAAACGGGTCGTATAAATCAGATAAATAGAATTACCAATAAGCAAACGTGATAGGATCATGAATGTAAAATGGAATATACGTATAATGGAGAGGCACCAATAGAACAAAATAATAGGGACACCATAAAAATTTCCATTTCTAGATAAGATTACACCACTTAAATTAGGAAGAAAGAGAGAGTTTTGAGTGGAAGTTCGTTCTCTCGAGTTATCAAAATATGACAGTTACTAGAAGACATACTCTTTATTAGTTTTGAGTGGCACACATGTTCCCCACAATCTTTACTTGATGCTTCAAGCCATAACTATAGATAGAGAAGGACCAAAATTATATTTTATTTATTTAAAGTAAATGTTAACATAACTTTGATTATCTTTTCACTAAAATTAGTATGTCATTAGACACATTTAATATAATATTAAGGAATCTAAAAGTTAATTAAATGATGATGAATTAAATAAACCCTCATAAAGCACTAACAACTTAATTAGGCTTAATTTTTATCTTGGTTTAGTTGTTGGCGTTGTCATTGCACTAAGGCCATAAATTATAAATCAACAATGCTATCCTACATCATTTAGACAAACTAATTAAGTAAAAAATTTTGTAATTCGAATCGTAAAATATTTTTAATGTTATAAGTGGTGATTAATTAAGAACTTTTTTAGATAAAGGTACCAGAGTTAGTATTATTTTTCTTTTTCTTTTTTAGATGTATAAAGAAAGCTGCAAACGCAATAATAAGTAGTCAAAATTTTATCCTAATCTTAAGTATCACCTATGAGTAATACATGTACAATACCAACATTTGAACATGTCATATATTTGTGGGGTCTAGATTTTTTTATATGTTGTAAGGATATAGTGTATGTTACCCATGCTCATAGTCATAGGTCGGTTATTGTAAGTTGTAACCTCTCATGGGTATGTCTGACTGTCCTTCATGTCCTACCAAACTCATACGTCTCTATAGTTTATTGGATTTGCATGAGCCTCTCCTATAAATAGCAACCATCTAGCAAGATTTAGTAAAATATTCATTAACTAGTGTTGATTGGTATATATCCACATGTACCAATGTTCCTTCTTCTCAAAATAAACAATTAGTAGTTGTATATTTCTTTTGAAATAATAGGTGTCTATGTGGTTTTAAGTATTTAATTTGATAAATAATGTATAATTTTGGGATTAAATTAGGTAGGGTAATAATCAAAATACTATATAATTCTATGTTAAAAAATAAGTGTATTATTCTGGTCGAGTTGACATCAATGTCTCCACTAAATAATGAAAATTATTATTATTATTATTATTATTATTATTATTATTATTATTATTATTATTATTTATGTAATGACAAAGCGGCCAATAATTATTAACTTTTAAACCAATCAGAAAACGTGTGAATTTTTACAAGTTAAAAAAGGGACAATAATGCAGATTTTTTTTTTTTTGAAATAGTATGGACACATTATATAAAATCATGTTGCACAAGTGAAAACAAAATTTATTAAATGAAATTTATATCAAATTTTCTCCTTTAAAATAGACTTAAGATGCCTACTCATACTATTATTATTGCAAGGTAGTCCCTCCATCATTATTTGTTCCTTAACTTAATTAATTAAAATTCAATACCTCGATCTTTTAGAATTAACTTTCGCGCACCATAAACACAAACCATATGTTTTGTATAAATTCAGATGTTAATGAATTTCGTCTTATCCCAAGTGTGAAAGGTATATAAAATTGTGTCTTTAATTTACAACATAAATAATGAACCTATGTGATAGAGATTTAAATGTGAATGACCAAATAAAAATTGTTTCTTAGAAGGACACACACAAATAATAAAAATAAAATAAAAGATATAATATACTAATAAACTAATACAAAGTTTAATTCCCATAAGAAGAAAGTGGTCCTATGACTCCTAGTAGCTAGTCCTAATCTAGTATAATGGACAAAGGTAAATAAAATTACTTTAACTTTATAATAATAATTCAACAAGATATAGTTTTAATAACATTTACCTTCCAAAATAGTGGAGGCGTTGACATAAAATCAAAGTTAAAATAGCTTTATTTGTTTGGCGGTGGTTAGGGGAAGGAAATTAAAGGGAGATGTGAGATTGGGGAGAGAGGGGTGGTGCTTAGTAATCATGAGGAAATGACATGATTAAAGCAAGTTTTAGCCTGTAATATTTGTCAAAGGAATATGCATGAGTACTATGTAAGTGTTTTTTGATGCAGTTCAACTATTATCTGACTGTATTTATGTGCGTATCAATAAAGTGCACTAAAATTGGAAAGAAAGTTGATAAAAGTTTCTAAAGAGTCAACTACATACACTACACTTGGATTGCTTATATTATAATATAATATAATATAATATAATCGTTTTTGTGAGTGGTCACCTGAGTATGTGTTAACCAATTCAATGCAAATTTGATGGGTTTACCATTTTTTATGTGTAGTTTATGTTGATTTAAGGTAGACAAACCTTCCCTACACAAGGTGACGATCGAGGTTTAACTCCCAATGCTAGGCCATTGAGGATGAAAGGAAATAGGTTGTAATGTATTTTAATCTGAATCATATACTTTCGATTACATCTCTTTTAAATTAAATCGAGTTGTGTTACCCTATTAGGTAAATAGTACAAGCCCTATCTTCTCCCTACACAAGGTGAAGGGTGAGGTCCAACTTAGAATGCTAGGTAATTGAGGAAAAGGGAAATATCCTATAGATTGTATAATCTATATTAGTGTGTTTTTTTTTTTTTGTTTTTTTTTTTTTTAAAAAAAAAATTTGGGTCGAGTTAAGTATGTTCCTATTGTAAATTCAATTCATTTGTTTCTTAAAGTTCATCAATCTTGTAATTTTTTTATTTATTTATTTAGTCCGAATCGAGGCAAGAAACATTGAGCCAGCTAGTTTGGAAATGGTCATTGGGTTGATTCAATTCAATTATATTAATTGGGAAAAAAGCTAGGTATAGTAGTTTTTGCTATTCACTGTAGTAGGCTACCTTCCTAGTAATTTAACTTAATTGATGGATACATATATGTCCAATAGAGCTAGTTATGACCATTTTGAATTGCCTATTGTAAATTCAATTCATTTGTTTTGGAAATTTATCGATGTTATGTAACCTAATTAAATCATGTAATTTTGGTCAAGTCTATATCGAGGCAATTGAGTCATCAAATTTGGCTTTTGGGTCGATTCAATATACAATTTATGTCCAGGTGGGAAGGAAGGTATAGAAGACTTTGCTACTTTCTCTATACCTTCCTAGAAACCCAACTTGATTGATAGAAACATACACGTCCAGAATAGTTGTATGATTGGTGCAACTCAACAATCTTGGTTACAAGTATACGATCTTATTATCTTATTCGTCTAATTGTCCTTGTTTATATTATGAGCATAATATATATATGATCATTATTTGTCATGTATTGATTGTGTGAAAGCCTACATTTTTGCAACAAAATTGACCTTTGCATCGTATTACGGACGAAAATTGCAAAATTCCAGTAAACTTGAGCGTACTTAATATTGGTTGCCGTCGCATAACAAATTTTGCCATGTGATGTGGGGGATGATTGCATTTGCAGCTCCATTAACTTTAATAGCAACAAAAAAAAGCCAAAAATATATTGTAAGAAAATATAAACATAGTAATCATGAAGTCACTGTCTAATAAAAAAAAAAATTATTGGATGCACTACTTCAGTCATTCTTAATGATGTACGTGAACTAATCAATCACATTTATATGCTCTATGTATTTCTATTGATTAGATAGGTTCATTTGTTCTATCTTGTGACATTACATACCATTTTCTCAAACAAAATACAATATCTCTTGTTTAACCCAATCATCACTACCTTCAATAATTTATTCTCTTATTCGATTTTTTAAATTATATGCAAGTATTGCGACATAATTCATATGATGGAAAGGAATTTTTTTTGTTTTTTTCAAGAATTAAAGTAGATAATATGATAAAGTTGATGCTCAATAAAAATATCAGTACACATTGAAACAACAAAAATAGTAAACTCTCAATTTTGTTATCATATATAGATTACATGGTGAGATTTTCAGAATTTCAGGTCCGATTTCAAACAAGTTGGACGTGATCGTTTAAATACATGTCACTAAACATAGTCGTTCTCTCAATCTGTCTAACAACCATAATTTAAATCGATGTCATTTTTTATACCAAGACAATACAACATATTCCATAGAATATATTGCCTTCAATAATTATTATGTGCAACTTTAGAATATATTAAAAAATTGTAGGCAACCTAACGAGTGATAAATGAGAAAAAAAAAAAAATTTAATTACAAGATACCCCGTAATGAACAGAGCCGCAAAAACAGAGTAATACGAGATAGATTAAATGTACATTGCCAATCTTTACTTTTATTAGTAACTAATACTATAGGCTATAGTATATACTTCATGCACAGTAGTGAAAGAATCAACAGAAACCAGCTGAGCTTCATCTATATATCCAAAAAGCTACAAGCTGATTCCTCAAAACCTTTCCTTCTGTTTTTCTTAAGGTAAAAAGAAAAAGAAAAAAAAATTGAAAAAAGATGGCCTGAATCTCCTTAATAAAAAAGGATTTCGAGCTCGATCTTTGCAAAATGAAGAATCTCCGGGGACTTATCTGCAAACATCCCTCTGGCAGATTTCTTCGCGGACTAAAAATAGGGTTTGATTTTCAAATCAGATTACTAAGCTTGCCTCTGTAAATCGTTAGCATTGATGAAAGTACCGTGGAATCCGTAAGGAACCCTTGAGGGAAGCTTGACTGTCGCAACCAGCTCTAAATCTGTGGCATTGACAATCTGTAACTCTGATGTCCAGTTCATCTCATCATGTACAAATGCGAGAATGTAACCATCGTCTTCTCTTTCGGAATCAGCATTCCTAGGAAGAAACAGAGGCTCACCGCCGTACTTGTCATCTCCATACATGAATTTTTGCACTTCTCCTGTGAATAAGTCAACCTTTGCGAACCCAGATACCTTCGGCCATGGCTCAGCAATGGCGAGGTACGCAAACTGGGTTTTCCGCCCGAGTTTATTTCTGTTCACCATACCGGCCTCCAGGTTCATTTTCTCTGAACTTGGGAGGATTTCGCGGCGTGTTGAGGTTCCGGTTTTCCGATTCAGCCTGATTTCTGATAATACACTGGAGAGATTCTCGTCAGACTCGTTGAAAATAGAGTCTGCGGGAGTCATGCAGGATCCGATCACCACCACCTCATCGGTTTCGGGCTCCTCCCACGCATTCCATAGATGAAAGCAGAAGCAATCAGGGACATCAATCCACTGAATTTCATCAGCGTTTTTTGCATATTTTGGTAAAATACCGAACCTCGCAGTTTTCTCCTTGTCAAACACAACTGGAGAACCGCCTCCAATCATCTCCTGAAGCTTAAACACGACCTGAGAGTCGGGTATCACGATGTTATTCTCCGTGATTGCGAAATCGTGCATCATAGTGGCGGAATCAAGGTCAATCTCAACGTCAGGAGATTTCGTACCATCAGCCGCGAACCAGAAATACTTCAAGTATGGTTTCTTGACAACATCATAGCTCAAAGCAAACATCTCGCCGGAAACCGGGTCTACCTTAGGATGCGCAATCATAGTAGATTTAAGCTGTCCATTAAAGTCGTAACGACCAACAGTTTTCAAGTCTCCTGAAGGGGTAACCTTAACTTGATAAGGAAGGTCGTCTTCAGACATAGCTAGGAGACGGTCATTGAAGTAAACAACTCCGGCATTGGCAACACCTATACCGTTATTTTGATCTAAAAGACCAAACAATGCACGAGAATAGAATAATACAAGTCTTCCGATACCGGTATGACCATGAAGTTCACCAATTGCCTTGGGGAAAATGGGTCTACCCAAAGCACGTTCTTGAACAAACCGATTAGTCTCAGTAAACCGGCAAGAATAACTGGCGGAACCATCTGAATGAAACTTAACGGCATGGATCATACCATCACCGTCAAAGAAATGATGACCGGAAACCGGCTCGTACAACGGGTTTGCCCCGTTTCTTACATATACACCCCGGATACATTCCGGAATCGCTCCAGTCACCGGAAGGTTCTGCTGAACAGGCTGTTCCGGAACCGGAGCGAAGTTACCAGCAAGTTGAACTCTCGGGTCGGAAGTTTTTGGCAAAGTTTGTTCATTCTCGTGGAAATTTAAGGCTTTCTCAACCATATCCAACGCGGCCGCGGCCGCTTTTTGGAAGGGATTCCATTGTTTTGGATGCGGTTTAGAAAATATATTATTGTTATCTTTTGGTGATGTAAAAAAAGGGTCCCTAACTTCCTTAGGAAAAGTCGTAATTTTCTTGGGTGATTGGGTTGTTGTTGTTGTAGTAGTAGATGAAGCTTTCTTTGGAGAGTCAAGTAAAGGTAATTGGAGTGAAGAATTTACCAAATTAAATTGGGATTTTGATATTTTTGATGAACCCATTTTTGGTTTTGGTAACACCCAATTGCTACTACTAGCACTTGCCATGATATAGCTCCTTTAACTCTTGCAATTTTTGCTCCAAGTTTTTGAGAGAAAAAATGTTGAGAAAAATGGGAGAGAAAGAAGTGAAGAATTATGTGAATTTGTGTTTAGTTTTTAGGTTGAAAGGTGGGGAGAGAGAAAGGGGGTAATATATAGGGAAGATGAGGAGAAAAGGGGGCCCAATTAAGGCATGTAAGAGATGACCACGTGTTGGTCTATGCGATCAAATGACCGATGCTATAAGTTTTATCAGGAGATGGGAAGAAAGGAAGGAGTGGGGGCTTAGCCTCTTTGGATTTTGACACGCTTACCCTTGCTTTTTTAGTTTTTTTTTCTTTTTTTCTTTTCACTCTATCTTTCCACTCTATTATACAAGTATGATTTGATGAGTATAATTTTCAAAATTATTCTCTAAGTTGAATTATTTATAGTATTGATAATTGTATGGTTTTCATTATTCTATGGTTTGTTATGCACGTTTTCGAAGTTGTGTTTCATGTGAATGTAAGTTTAGGAGACACTTTCTCTATGTTTATTCTCCCCACTTGTATGTATCTTAATATCCATATACAACTACAGATTCAAAATTGAGGATCGTCTTTTGCTTTTAGACTATTAGCATGTTGATTCATCTAAGTTAATTATTGTATATATCAAGTTTTTATATACTAAGTAGATATTTTCATTTAAATTTTAACTAGAGCATACTCGTGCAAATGCAAGAAATATTATTATACGGAAGCATTAGGAAAACTATTGATATAGGTAGTTTTTATAATCGAGTGTTGGAATTTGAAAACTAATCTTTCTGATCTTTCTCTTTCAAATTGGCTCCTAAATCATACACTTCTTTTATTTTCTATTAAACGCAATACACCTTATTAGCACGCACTTTGAGAAAAAGATTAAATAACGTAAATGGACAAACTAATCAAAATAATTTATAAACGTAGTACCTAATCCTTCTTTAATCTTATTGTTAAAATTATATTGATGAAGTATCTCATTAACCTACTCTAATCAACTTCTAAAAAAACATGTCAAAAAGGTGTGATGCATTAAAAGTAATAACAGAAGAATTATATGATTTTGGTCTAAATTTTAAAGTCTTACTTTGCTTATTGCATTTAGCTTTTTTTTTTTTTCTTTTTGGAAAAAGATATTAAAAGGGCTTATAAGAATAGTCAAATTATATTGCAAACTAATATGTAAGTAAACACATTGACAATCAGCATTGTTTATCGACCACCACGGAAACACAAATGAAACGGAGCTTATAAGGATTGAAAAATGTACACGGAGTATAATACTATTGAAAATTAAGTACGAGTAGGGTTTAAAAATAAATTCAAAATATTAAAAATAAATACATTAAATAAAGTTATTTAATTAATTTTATAAGCACGCAATATATGAGTAAAGCATCGGTATACATATGTAATTAATCATTATGAACCAGGATAGTAAATGTAAATTAAAATTTGAACAAGTACTTTCATTGACATGATATTTTTTTAAGCATGTTACACTCGTAATATGTAAAAAGAATGGGATTGAATATAACGGTTTGTTTTTATCAATAATACATATTCCCTCTGATATTTTATTTTAATGCTCAATTTTTCTCATATGTAAATATGAATTTCAAAATATACTGTATTAAAATTAGTGAGTTGTGTAAAAAAAGTTAAATAGAGTAAGAAAGATGATGTAAAAAAGTGGATGAGTGTATATATATATATATATATATATATATATATAAGAACCAAAGGAAAAAAAAAAAGGGTAAGAGAATTGAAGATGTTTGAAAATTTATATAACTATTTTATCATTAGGGCCTAAGATGGTAAAACTAGCAGATCTAATTGTACTTTGTAGCAAAGCAAAACCACTAGAATAAAAGAAATGAACATCCAGAGTGTGTGAATTTGTTAGAGTTATGAAATATTAGTATCGGAAAATATATGAACTTTAAGCTTATAAAAAAAAGATTAATTAATAGTAATTATTTCATATACTTATAAAATATACACATATACGTACATGTAGAAATCTTCTTTGGTAAAAATAGATTAAAAATTCAACAATTATTGCTTTGGTTTGGTAAGATGATAAAAAGAAAGTAAACCTATAAACAAATTATATTTATCCGCAATTTATGTAACAATTTTCAGGAAAAAATCACGTGAGAAATCAGTGTTGGAGAAGATAGAAAGAAAGAAAAAGACATTTTTCTTTTTACACGAAAGTGATATAGTTTGGCTGTTTGGTCCATTACAAAGTGATATAATTGGTCCATTAACAGGGCTACGGGTCGTATATAATTGGTCCATTACTTGCATAATAAATTTCTGTGTTTTTTTTTTTTGTTTTGTTTTTTTTTTTTTTCAATTGTTGCCGTGTAATTAGCTCTAACAGTAATAATAAAACGTGTACCTCCTAAAATGTAAATTAAGGAGCTCATATAAGTCATATAAAAGAAGTATGATATATATATCCCTTCTTAGGTAACCCTTATATTGTAAGATGATTTTAAAGTTGTAGATGTTAGAGAGAAGTGATTGAGGTCGTCTATTTATGACGAGACCGTTTGGATACAATCTTGACAGAAAACTTTATGTACTTTTATCATTCATATTAAAATACTTTTATATCTACAACTTTATTAGATTTACGTTTTTTTTTTTTTTTTTCCGTATTTCTACTAGTATAAGTATCATACTATTTTTTCCTGAACCTAAATTCCCATGAAAATATAGTAACAAACACTACATTATGATATAGAACGAGTATAAATTTGGCTTTTTATCTTCCAAACCAACTCCTTCTATACTTAATTGTCAATTGATCGCCAAATTGGATCCATTATATTGTCTCAAACTTGTTCATAGCGGATTTTCCGACTTAGATACATATCATAAATTACTTTTCGGACTGATCTTGCATGCGAAAAAAATTATGAATAATCAATGTTACAACAACAATGATAACCAATTGTTAAGTGTCGTTCATTTGTGATAAAATCATTGAAATACCACTTTTTAATTGACCATAACTAATTCAAAATTTGACCTTGGTACTAAAAGTTGATGTTATATAATATCAACACAACAACACTCCAGTTGTACGAGTCATATATATCTAATGTAATCCAACTTCCTACCGTCATCGCCTTTTATTCTATGTATGACATTTGGAAGTAATACACAGTGTCCTAATACAAACATAAAAAAATTATATTTTGGATTGAAGTAAAGAATATATTTTTGAAATTACATGAAACGTCTAAAACTATAGTACTCATCTATATAGATGAGATCTTTTAAGTCGTGTTCATAAATGAGATGTATGGTAATTCTTACACTAAAAAATGGCCTGGTATCATTAAAAGAGTTTGATTAAATTTGATATTCGTAATATATTTATAAAGATAAAACTATTAAAACCCCACATAATTATGACTTTTTTTTTTTTTACAAATTAATATTTAATACATACTCATAATAAATTACAGAGTAAATATTTTTATTAAATTATGAATAAATGCAAGATTATAAAAAGGAAAATCAAAGGGTGGTCATCATATTCTCTTCACTTAATATTTACTAAAAAAATTTCTCAACATAAAAAACTTGTTAAAATTAAATTGATTTTACAAGTTCACCACTATATTGTTCTTTGAAGTTTTTGAGATTTACTGATTAAGATTTCTCCCTTCCATTTTTTTTTTAATTTTTATAATGCAACATTTAACATTTACATAAATTATTTTAGCATCATATTTATTTGTTGAAATTAATTTGTTTTTACAGATTCACTCTACTATATTAATTGTTCTATATATGAAGTTATTGATAGGAAAAAACTTGTGTGGACCTGATTTACAATAATATTATTGTGGACCTATACGTGCGCAAATAACGTCGTATTGAATATAGTGACCTTTTATTTAAACTCTTGTGATCACCTTTAATATTATTGTGAAGCTAAAGTACATATATGTCACCCAATGCTATGTTAAAGATAGTGACCTTAAATAAAACATAATGACCTTTATTATTCATATTGATCAGTATAAAACACATTCATTAAAAAAAATAACCCTTATGATCTTTGTATTAACACATACAGTGACTTTTATTTTAACATAATAACCATTATTTTAATATAGTGGTTCAAATAAATTAATGTGAACCAAATCTATTTAAAAATTTGTATTTATTGATATTTATTGATTAATTAGAGTGTGCTCCCTTTGTTTTTCTTTATAATGCTACATTAGACTTTTGCATTATTTCATGTGCTAATTAACTTTGACTTTTTATTTGTGTACAATAATATATTTTAAACACATGTTAATGTATAACATGGTATTGGAAAAGTCATATATGAGGCATATATATTTTTATAAACAATAATTTCAAAAAAATTACTAATACACCACTAATAATGATTAAATTATATCTTGGCAAGTGTATCCATCAAAGTGTTACACAAAAATAAAGTTCGTATTTTTATTGAACTTAATACCTCTTGTTTTTTCTAGTTGGCACGTTTATTTTATCATAACAATTATCAACACATAAACTGATCAACAATTAACATCTCTAGCTACCAATTAAGTAAAATTTAATAAATCTTGATATTATCAAAATATATACACTAAGATGAAAAAATAAATCTTTACTATATTTTTTCATTCTTATAAATAACAAAAGCTAGTAAAATTGAGTTTGTAATTAGTGTCAAATTATAATGTAAACTAAAAAATAACAAATTAAGTGTACTTTTGCTCAACTTTATTTAGTTTAAATTGAACAAAAAGTCAAATTGTCAATGTATAAATTACTCCCTTTGTGTATTTATCGAGATACAACTTTGACCATTAATATCTTTAATTAGAGTTTAGTAAAAATTATGAAAAAAATTAATTTATAAAAGTAGACATTATGACTAGAGCTGTCAAAAGCTGACCCGACCCGAAATACCGACCTGAACCCAATTATTAACCGACCCGTCTAATCTCGAAAAAATGATGACCCAAACCCGATATGACCCGACCTGAAACCAACCCTAGACCCGAATTAACCCGAGTATTTGAGACCCGAACCCGAACATGAACCGACCTGGAGATGACCCGACCCGAATATAACCCGTAAAATATTGACTTGAACCGAACCCGACATGAACCGAAATTGACCCAAACCCGTTAAAACCCGAATTTAACCCGACCTGAATTCAACTCGACCTATTCCTAACCCGACCCGAATTTAACCCGACCTATTACTAACCCGACCCGAAATTCAACCCGATTTGTCACTAACCTGACCCGAAATCAACCCGACTTGTTATTGACCCGAAATTAACTAGCAATTTAAGATTACGTCATATCTTTTTTTTTTCCCTAATTCTATGAGTTATTTTCATATTTAAGCTTATTCAAATATTTACAATAAAATTCTCTAATATCAAATGTATTACAATTTATATGTCTCAAAAAAACCTATAAAAATTTATGAATACCACTACTTTTTGGATGCATGTGCATTCTTTATTTAAATTTAGTAATTACGATTTACGAATACTACTACTTTTTAGGTGCAAGTTCATTCTATT